CATTGTTTTCAACTTCCCACAAGACATAAACCTTTTTAGAAATAAATATATTTTGAATCTTGAACCGATAGCAGAAAAAGAAAAAAAAAAGAAAATAATAATAATAATAAAATACCCACCTTGTCTGGAGTTGTTACGACCTTCCTACTGCTACTTTACATCATCTGGCTGCCAATTCTTTAAAACTTCACTGGGCGTGTTTGAATAATTTTGCATAAATTTGTAAACAAACTTACAATGTGTCACTCTTTCAAATGCTTCATTTAAAAAGGCAAAATTTGTCATTGTGTTTCCACAATGACAAAAACATAAAACACCTTTGTTGCTGTTTAGAATTTTCCTACAACTTTTAAATAGCAAAAAAATACATTTTTACAGAACTGGTACCACCTTTTTATGTTTTGTTTCATTAGTTTGTCTTTTACAAATGTATTTAAACTGAAATTCTAACCATTAATAAAAATGCACACCTTTAAATCCTACAAGTAGCATTAAACCATGCAAATATTGCTGGTTTTATTTGTCCAGTACAGATTTGCATCCAGCACTGACTGTAAACTGAACAAAGCAACGTTAACTCAAGTCAGACACTTCTGGTGATTTATTTAAATGTAAGTCTACTACACATACTACCTACACAAACCTTTGTTGAACTTCTTTTTATTTTGACTTCAATATTTGCTTGCATTTGTCATATCTAGAATGGTTTATAGCAATTGTTTATTATCTGGGTGTCTAAATATTTCTTTAAAAATTCTTAATTTTATCCAAAATATTGCTGCCAGAGTCTTAACTGGAGTTAGTAGGAGAGATCATATCTCTCCAGTTTTAGCTTTTCTCAAATGACTCCCTGTCAAGTCCAGAATTGAATTCAAAATCTTACTTCTAAACTACAAAGCTCTCAACAACCTAGCTCCATCTTACACTACAGATCTTATTGATTCTTACTTTCCTAATAGAGCACTTTGCTCTCAGAATGCATGTTTTCTTGTGTTCTGAGTTTCCAAAAGCAGAATGGGAGGAAAATATTTCAGTTATCAGGCTCCTCTCTTGTGGAACAAACTTCCAGTTTCTTTCTGTAGGGCTGACACCTTGTCCAGTTTTCAGACTGTGCTTCTTTTTGATAAATCCTATAACTAGGGTTGGCTTGGTTTTCCTGAGCTTTCCCTGAGTTATGCTGCTATAAGCTTACACTGCTGGTGGACAAATTGACCTCATCTCCTCATTCTGCTGCTGTATTTGCTCTACTCTACCTGTTTGTATTTGTAATTATTTATATGTTAACATGTGTATTTTTTTTGTCTTTCCTCATATAGAAAGTTAACCTGGACCTGCCATTCTGTGTTTGTCTGTTTCTACTTCCTGTCCTCTCAAACCCAGCCCATCAAAGCAGAAGGACACTCGTCTTGAGCCTGGTTCTGCTGGAGGTTTCTTCCTGTTAAAAGGGAGTTTTTCCTTTCCACTGTCTCCTTTGTGCTTGCTCAGGACGGGAGAATGTGATAAAGTGAAGATTCAACACAATCTGCTGTTTCTTTAGATAGATAACTTTTACTAATTGGCTTGTTTTAATGTATGTGAATGTTTTTGTTCAGTGCCCTGAGACGACTTCTGTTGTGACCTGGAGCTATAGAAGTAAACTTTATTAAATTGAATTGCATTATTTGCCCAGAAACATGCTCAAATCATGGTAAAGATTACAGCTTTACTGTGATGTATTCATGGTTCAAAAGAATGGTTGAATTTTAAATAAGTAAAATGCAACCAGGTGGGGTAGAAAGCACCAGATCGACTGCCTGCAACTACAGTCCTGTCTAGATACTTGAGAGTTTTTTTTTTTTATTGAGAATGAAACCATCTGTCTGTCTGCCTTTCTGCCTGCCTGTCTGCCTGCCTGCCTGCGTTGCTGCCTGCCTGCCTGCCTGCATAAATAAAGCTAGATGTAGGAAGAGGGCCATCTGCATCAGGAAGGACCCCACTCACCCAACACATGCTTTTTTGCCCCACTCCCCTTGGGCAGGAGGTTGAGGAGCATTAAGTGTAGAACCACTAGACTGAGGAACAGTTTCTACCCTGAGCTGTTAGACTGATGAATCTCTAATCAGAATAATCACTGTGAAAAATCATTGTAATGTCACTTGATTGTTGATATGTGCTGCTGAATGCCCATGTTGCTGATCTCTTGCTGCTGATTATTTCATGCTGCTGTGCTCATTCATCCTCATCTGCTCACACAGACTCATGTTCATGCTGTAGTTCGGTGTATTGTTTTTGTACTACTAGTGCTTAGTGTATTCTTAGTTTAGCATATTTCTTAGTTCACGTCTTAGATCTTATTAGTTTTTTTTTTACATTTTAATCATTTTGTTGGATGTAACTGGGACCCTGTTTACACAATTTTGTTCCACCACATGTACCACATGTGGTGTGTATGACAAATACAGAAACCTTGACCTTGAGAAATACTTAATAAGAAAAGAACAGGAAGATGAAATGTTTAAAGTTGTTGTAACATGCCATACAAAACATTCAAAAGTTTAACTTTAATAGAAGTATTGTCACAAAAATGTGTGTTTCATTTATTATTTCATTTTATTATTTTTATTATATTTCATTTACAGTATGCATTTGTTATTTTCATGCAGTTTGCATCTTTGAGCACCAGGTGGTGCTATAGCATGTCTGAAAATATTTTCTTCCCACTCCCAAATCCTGCTCTTTCATACCATCACTCAGGATCTTACCTCCCTCCACCTGAGGATTCAGATATAGAAAGAAATTATGAATAATGAAGAACTATTTCAAAGAATAATCATAACCATGTTTTATACAGGTGTTTCTCACTTATATTTTAAAATACTGACAGACTTTATTGTTTCAATAAAGTGCAATTATATATTTACATGTATTTTATAACTTCACTATGTCATTACAGAAATGTGGAAATGGCTTAAATAGCTAAAATTGGCATAACAAAGCTAAATACTAGCTGAAATAATTTAAACTAACATAAATAAACTTAAGAGCATTACAAGTTGAAATTAGCAGAACTATGTTTTTATTTTTCATGTACCCTTTATTTATCCAGGTAGTCTCATTGAGCCATGAGAAATAATTTTTGAGGGGCATGTTTGGGGGGCGGGTGGGGGGGTTTGGGGGCCTTGCTCGGGGGCTCGGGGTGGGGCTCGGGTACCAGGGGGTGAACCTGAAGCTTTCCGATCACAGGCCCATCTTCTAACCTCTGCACCACCACTCCCCCCATTAATTTAGGCTGAAAGTAGCAGAAATTGCCATGAAAAACTAGAATTTATCTGAAAACAGCTGAAATTAGCTAAAATTGCAAGCTAGCTGAAAAGCTAGAAGGAGTCTTAAATTAGTAGAAAAGAAGCAAAACGAACATGTTTGTCCATTTGGGCTTAAAGAAGCAGAAATGAGCACAAAAAATGTAAACTATCTGAAAAACCTGAAATTAGCCCCCCCCCCCACACACACACACACACATACACACACACACAAAAAAAACCAGCTGAAAAGTAGCTGAAAAAGCAGAAAGAAGCCTAAATAAGCAGAAAGAAGTAGAGAGACCACAATTTTGCTCAATTAGACTGAAAGAAGCAGCAATGAGCACAAAATTGGAAATTTTCTGAAAAAAGCTGAAATTAGCAAAAAAAAAACTGCTGAAAAGTAACTTCAACGGCAAAAAGAAGCTTAAATTACAAAAAGGGAGTGGAGAGAGCACACTTTTGCTCAATTGTGCTGGAAAAAGTTGAAATGAGTGCAACAAATGTAGAATTGGCTTAAAAAGTTTAAATTGGCATGAAAACAGCTAATTAGATGCTGAAATAGCAGAAAAAGCTTAAACTTGCAGAAAGGAGCATATCAAGCTGAAATTAGCAGAAATAAGTTAGAAGAAGTACAAAAACATTGTAGTTAGCAGAAAGAACCTGAAAGCAATGCAAACATCAAAAGTAAAAATTTAAAAAACAGCTGAAATTAGATGAAAGTAGCTGAAAAAAATGTCAACATTTGCACAAGGAAGCTGAAAGAAGCTGAAGCTGAACAAAATGTGAAAGGAGCAGTAAAATGTTGTAAACAAATCTAAAGATTTAAAGGATGTAAAATTAGTTCATTTAAGTTTCTATGAGGAAAAAATGGCAAAAAAGGCTAAATATTTCAAAAAGCTAAAGCTGCACCAATACCAAAAGGTCCTGAAAGAGCTCAATGTTTTGATATATGAAATACTGTATATGAAACTTTGTTGTTTCAATAAAGTTCAATTATATTTTTGCATGTATTTTTCAATGACATCATAAACAGTTTATGCATTACATAATGTTCAGCATATGAGAAAGGAAAGAATAAAGAGTTTTAAATAATTTTCTGTCAGAGTATTCCATTTTATACTCAGATTAGTTGAGTAAAGTGTGCAGACAAACTTCCATGTGTTTAAGGATTCAGGTGATTGTTTTTGTTTTGTTGTTATGATTTTATCATCTAAAATATCATTTTGGTACAACTTCTACAAGAAATTTCTGGAAAGCCAACAAGTTTGTTTTCTGTTTGTGTTTTTTTCAGCATGATCTCTCAAACATGCAGGCAGGTCCATGAGGTACTTTCCTGATTAGCAGAGCAGGGCCCGAATGGGAGGAGTGAGGAGGAGGAAGAGAAGGAGGAGGAGCAGGAAAGGAGGAATGTCCCAGCTTTGTGTTTGGTTCTGACAGAAAGCAGGGAGAGGGGAGGGACAACAGCCTCTGCTGGGAAGACAAACTCCCTCAGGAGGAGGTGGATGGAACAGACGTGTGTGGATCTGAAAGCAGATTCTAGTTTTGTGTGTTTTCCGTAGAAAGAGAAACCAGGCTGTGGTGCAGATTGTGTAAATTTCTTTGGAAGCTTCTTCTGGTAACAACTTCTTGGAGCCTGTAAAGCCTGAAGACCTCACTGAGACATCTGAAGTTGTCTGAATCCACATGAGGTTTTAGACTCCTGACATCTGGACTGAGTCTGCTGTTTTGGAGGTTTGGTTGCTCACAGACTGATGTAACTCTTCACTGAAACATCTGTCCGATCAGCTGTTTGGACTGCCGGATTTTTGGAGTGATTTGAGGATGAGTGGAGCAGGGGATGTTGTGTGTGAAGGCTGGCTGAGAAAGTCTCCACCTGAGAAGAAGCTACGTCGATACGTGAGTACTGCAGCTTCATCTTGTTCCTGTCAGGGTCTAGTTTAACCAAAGAGGCTCCAGGAGGAGGAAACATCTGAGCACACGTGCTCCCCTTGGTGTTTATTCTAATTAAAATAGAATATTATCTGTATGTTATCACTGTTGACACAAAAAGTAATTTCCTACAGCTATAATTAGAAAACAATAAAACCTACAATAAAGTGCAGCTGCTGGAGTAAAAGTAACGGATTTGACTTTGATCGGTTGATTATCAACCAAACAAAATTAAAAGGATCACTAAACTTCAGCTGTTTCTTTTTCTATCAGTAAATGTTGGACCATTCATTCACAGAGCTGAATAAAAAAAAAAACTAAAGAATCAACAATCAAAAAAATTAGCAAAATGTTGAAAAGATAGCGTTCATGCTCAATCATCCAAGTACCAAGTCCAATAATTCTCAGTCAGGTCAATTGAACTGTTTCTTTTTTATAGAGACGTGTCACCTTGTCACCGGATAGAGGTTGAAACATATCTATAAAAAAAGAAACTGTCCAGATGACCCAACTGAGAATTATTGGATGTTGAAAAGATATTAAGATTTTTAATTTTATTTTACTCAAAGCCCCTGGAATGAATCTATTCGAATTTTGCTACTTTTGCTTTTCTTTCAGAAAGTGGAAAACGTTTTTAAAATGGTCTAGTTGAAGCAGAAAAACCAAACTGTGACATGCAGTTTGTTTAACAGCATGGCTCACTTTCCAGTAAAGCAGCACACACACACACTCACAAAGACACACACACGCGCACACGTTCTTGTAAACATACTTTTTGGTGACTTTGCATTGACTTCCATTCCTTTTCTATAGCCTAACCATGACCCTTACCCTAAACTTAACCATTACTAGTACATGCCTAACCCTAACCCATCCGCATAACCCATAACCCCCAACGAGACTTATCCTATAGGGGACCTGGCTTTGGTCCCCATAAAGAGCAGTTGGTTTTCACAATGCATGATTTTTTGTAAAACTGGTCCCTACAAGGTAACCTGTAGGAAAAACGCACACACACTCACACATTTTGGTCCCCGTAACGAAACTTGTCCCCATGACGTGACTGTGCAAACATTCTATGTCCCCATACTGTACTAATACAAGAACGCACACACACACATACACATATGCGCCCCCCACCCCCCTCCAACACACCCCACATTTCTGACATGCCTTCCCAGTGAGTTGAGCTAATCTCATCTTTCCGTTCCATATTTCCTCTCAATCTTTTCCTTTTGCAGACAAACCTGTAAAACAGTTTGTTTATTTTTATTTTTTTTAATTCTCCACTTTTTCCCACGGCGTGAACTAATTTAATCTATGGGTTTTCCTGCTTTTAACATTTCATTTTCCTCCAGTCTTACAATCAATCAACCTTTATTTATACAGGTAAATCC